AGAGTTACTGAACTTTGGTCTCAGTTTCATTCAATTTGGACCAAAAGTTCAGCAACAGCTTCCTCATTTGAGTCATAAAAATAAAACAAAGAGTGAGCAAGTGTAGAGCCCTAATACCAATTCATCAGGTTCAGGCCAGAGTCACAATCTGGTTTTCATGAAAGAGATGAAATGTCATGGCTGATAATTTCCCTGGGTGGGTGGGGAGATGAAGTCTGCAGGCTGTTTCTGTAGAGTGTGATTATTGTCAGGTATCTGGAAACAAATCCCTAATAGTTGAGCAAGATCAAAGGACCATCCATCAAAGCTAAAACTCCATGCAGTTGACTAGGTGTCATGTCCTGTGTCCACACCCTGGAGACTCTGCACAAGAGGACACAGACCTCACCCCTTCTCATAGGTGTACATCAAATAATACCCCAAGGGAAGAAAGGAGAAAGGAAAATCAAGGTCTCTGAGAGCTTTATAGTCTTTTGAGACCCCAAAAGAATCCTGCATCCTTCTTCCTTCATTTCCTAGGACAACTCTAGCTGACACAAAAAAATAAGTTCACCGTTCTTACTCTTCATAAAAGAGTAACACATTGAATGCCAGCAAAGATATTACACAAGATATAATTAGAGCCAATCTCTATTCTGTGGAGTCACATTCAGAAGGGATGAACCACTGAGATACAAATGGAAGAAAATATAGAAAGCTCAGGAGAAGTAAGTTCCAGGTGTTTTAGCTATTTCACCAATGGTTTCTCCAACTGAATTGCAGGAGAGTACTGAGCTTTGCACACAAACACTGCCTTGAGTATAGTAGGTGTTTCAAGAAGTGGAGGAAGAGAAGTTTGACTTTGTTTTACCTATTCTTGAATGCCAGATGAAAACAGAGGGAGTTTGCCCTGATCACAGATGATAGGCAGATTGGCAAAAAAAAAAAAAAAAGAAACATCATGATGAAGGTCAAAACCGTGACCGATGGACAACTTTCCACTGCATTTCCTTCAGAAGCAGAAAGCGTGCTATCAAGGATGGGGGTGAATACAGATTCACAGCAGACGCAGCATTGCAATTAAAGTCCATGCAAGAAAAGATCTTTCTCCACGTGGCCTCCAAGGCCAAGTGCCAAGTAGAAAGGAACAATGGATTTCTCCCAAAAAGAACTTGGTGGAACAATAGATGATTTTTTTAGACTCAAGGTTATAAGCCCAGATATATTTTTCAATAAGAGCAGAAAAATAGGAGGTATTTTGAATACTGCCAAACATCGAGACGCCTTTGCCATAGAAATCTTGTCTTAATTATAAAAACATTTCAGAAATGAAGTGCTTCTTTACAGCACAATTTCCCAGTATTTTTCATACAACAAAACCAAATATTGCTGAATTTAAAAGAACCAAAACTCATACAGTCCAATTAAGTTTTCAAGGGAGAACCGAGTTCTCTCAAATGAGGTATTTCATTTGGAAACTGGATCCTCATTTCTTAACAGTATTTGGGGCTCTGCTACAAGTAACCTTGCACTTTCTAATTGGGTTCAGACCCTCTTCCAGGAAGTAACTCTCAAAATGCAAAATTAGAATGAGATCTCTCTGGGAGGGCAGTCATACCAGGAAGAATGTTCCAGGGAAGAATCCCTCCAGGAAATAAATCCACACATTTCAGTGACAACAGTTGAGAAATGTTCTCAACAGACTTGCAGTGAAGCTGCCACTAGGAGTGGGAGGGGGGATGCCACTGCCTGTCAGACACACAGCTTTTACTTTGGTTTCTTAGGAAAATAGTACATGCCCTTTCTGCTTCCCACTGAGAATGAATTACTCTTGCCTGCGCTCAAGCAGAGAGGCTGACTGGGCTGGGAGCACTGAGCTAACAGCCTATTAAACTGAAGTTGCCTTGAAAGTTGGTTAATGACAAAGAAAACTCAGTGTTTCCATCTAGACATCTAAACTCAGATACAAAAGGAAAAATGTCTGTGCAGGAAAATGCCTTCATTTTACAAATTTGATTATGTTACTGATTTGACAGCTATAAATTCTTGAAGCCATTGAGATAAAAATAAAAAACCTGACTTGAAAAATTATTAAATCTCTATTCCATAAGAGTTTAAATGTATGCACATATGCAAAGATGCTCAAAAACTGTGACTTTCCTGGAGGTCAAACTGCACACAGCCTTAAGTAAAGGAGACAGTTTATCTTTCCTCTACTCTATATCATTATCATTGGTTTTGACATTTACATAGTCCTTCTCTTCATAAACATTCCCATCAGTTGGCTTCAGAAGCAACCTTCTTGGAGAAATCAGACCAGAGAATGTCAATCTGCAAATGAGACCCAGAGAGGATAAGTTATTTGCCTAGCATCTTAAATGAAGAAACAATATATGAGAACATACTTCTTAAGCAAGAATTGAAAATAGTTATATAGTCATCATATTCCCAATGTCCACTCAGACATTTTTCAGGCCAAACTGTAGCAACTTTAATACTCAAATCCTAATATGTTTCTCTTTATTCATTATAGCAGTCAGCTGTAGGTGCTTCTAAAGTGAATTTTTGAATATGAAATAACATTAATGTAAAAGACTACATACTTGGAATTATCCTCCCATATATTGGCCTTACAAAGCCTGGTGATGTTGTTTAATTAACATTCAAAACCCATATCATCTTTGTTTATTTTAGATAAGTAAGAGTTAGTCATTTAAAACAGTCACACAGTTTTAACACAAAGTAACAATTTCAACTTTCTATAATTTAGTATTATCCTTTAATGTAAAAGAGAAAATTTTTAAAAAGAAACTCAACATTGTCAAGAGTTGCCAATTGTGGAGCACCATACAATAAATGTTACTTAGTATTGATGATGATAAAGGTGATTAAATGATGATATTGTTGTTATATCCACAGAGAAAGCAACAAGGTTCATTTCTGATCCTTAACTTTTAATCATATCGACAATCACCCCCTGACCAATCCCAAACTGGTTTTGGAAATGTCAAAGCTACAATATAGCTGCCTGCCTGGTCTGAAAAGTCTAAGTTCTTGACTAGGGATATACTGACCACAGAACTTACATTTTAGTGGGGTGACAGGAAATCAGTCACTTAACTGTTCTTTGATCTTAGAACTTATCAAATGGTAGAAAAATCCAGAATGTCAAAAAATTTAACTGGAAATGACATGAGACTAACTTGTTCTTTTCTCAAGCAAAGGACACTGAAGACATCTAGTTCCTATTCAGAATCGGAACATCCAATAACCTGCAGTGATTTTAGCCAGGTACAAAACATGAACATTTTGAACTCAGATTATAACCCATTAAAGAGTTCCTATCTGAAATTCTGCAGCAATCATGAAAATAAGTACTAACTCACAAACCTCAAGCCTAGAGGAAGCCAGGAAAAAACCTGCAAATAGCTGTTTCTGGTTTCTTTCTTTGTTTTGTTCCTATTAGTATCTGTAGACATAGCCTAAATTATCCCAAAGAGCATACAAAGAGCACCCTCACCCCATTCGGAGGCCCTCCTTTCTTTTTTGAAAGACTCTTTAAATTGTAGATGGACATAATGCCTTTATTTATTTATTTTTATGTGGTGCTGAGGATTAAACCCAGTGCCTCCCATGTGCTAGGCAAGCGCTCTGCTGAGCCACAACCCCAGTCCCAGAGGCCCACCTTTCTGGTGCAATATTCATTCCACCATTACCTTCAAGTATTTACTTCCTTAACTCATGCTGCTGCCTCTCTTCTAACCCTCACCACATCCCCCACATTGCTTGTCTAGCTTAGTCAATGAACAAATAACCAGGAACTGTCTCATCAACAGCCATTCCTAACACATGGGTAAGGTTGTATGGTGTGCTGAAAGGGCCACAGACTCGGCAATGAGGCTGTCGGCTTCACATTTCAGTTCATCATGATTGCAAGCATTGTCCTTGGCCCTAGAAATCTGGAAGTGAAAATCCAAGGCCCTGCTGTCATAGAGTTAGATTCTAGTCGTGGGAGTAGGGGAAACAGACAAGAAATAAGCACAGATGATACATTAGGTAACATTTCAGCTGAATTTTGAACAGAACAAGGCAAGAGTCATTCAGGCCTGTGCAAGCACAGCCCAAGCAGAAGGAACAATAATGGAATGCTGGAGAATAGGGGTGCTTGACATGTTCTAGGAAGAGCTGAGAGGTCAGTGCCTGGCGCAGCAGGAGCAAGGGGGACAATGGTGGCCATGAGGTCCAGGAGGTAGCAGAGAGCCAGATGGTATGTAGTCTTGCAGGCCACAGTGAGAATATGGGATTTCACATTTCACTCAGAGTGAGAAGAGATTGTAGGTTTTTGTCCAGAGGAATGACATGATCTGATTTGTACGTTTAAAAGATTCCTCTGAGGTGTATATATTAGGCGAGTGGGGCAAAGGCAGAGGCAAGGAGAACAATCAGGAGGTCATTGTAGTCTAGACTACAGTGACAAGTGATGATTGGTAGGATTAGCATGGTAGCAGAGGAAGTGTCAAAAGTTAGTATTCTGATTATATTGTGAAGACACTGTCTCCAGGAGTTTGCTAATGGATGAGGTGTGTAGCCAGGCAGAAAAGAGGGGTCAAAGATACTTACCCTCAACTTGGAGAATGAGAATGCTGACGCCATTGCCCAAGAATAGGGCAGCAGTGACTAGAACTTACTAGAGTAAGTTTGAGAGGAGGGAAAAGAATCAAGATTTGTTTGAGACATGACTTTGAGCTGCCTACTGGAAATCTGAATGAAGGTATCAAGTCAGTTTAGATATGAGATTTGGTTCCCCCGTCTGTAAAACAGAGTGATTTGAGCTAGAGATAGAAACTGGGGAGATTTACCAATAAAAACAAAGGACTGAAAAAAACAGTTGCTGTTTAACTGAAATTCAAATTTAACTGGGCATTCTGTATTTAATCTGCCAATCCCAAGGGTGAGGCTGCACGGAGATCACATAAAAAGTTAGGAGGATAGAGGGAAGAGAAGTAGCTGAAGGGCCCAAGAATTAAGCCGTGGGGCACTGAAATAGTGAGAGATGAGAAAGGGGGAAAGAAACAAGTGAAGGAACTAGAAGGAAAACAGAAAACACAGTGTTTAGAAACTGAGAGAAAGAGTGTTCCAAGAAGGAGGAGATGATTGTGCCAGCTGCACTTAAGAGTGCTGGATTTGCAAACTGCAGATGGCATAGGGGAAAGGAAGGTCTGACTGGAGCAGGTTCAAGAAAAAATGGGAGGAGAGAAACTAGTGAGAACAAGAGCAGACAATTCTTTTATGGTTTTACTCTAATGGAACATAACATGGGTCAGTAACTGGAGGGTGATTTGGGGTAAAAGGAGTTGAGTGTGTTTTTGTTTTGTTTCGTTCTGTTTAGAAAATGGTCATCAGCTGACACAGGTGATTGAAGTGACACCCTGTCCCAAGAGTAGCTGGCTACTTAGCGCCAAGAAACTGCTTCTCTCCTGGCATGCAAACATGGAGCTTCAGGAGCCAAGTAAGTGTGGAAGAGTTACTGTGGTTCCCAGAACAGACTGCCCAAGATGCATGCAGTAGACACTAGGATAACTTTATCCCCAGGAAGTACCACTGTCTCTGGGGTGAAAAGGGCTTCTGCACTAAGGACTCCTGCCCTCTGTGACTGAGCACAGAGGATGCCACTTTCTGTGACTTCTGGAAAACCAGAGAAATTGAAAACAATGGCTAGTTGTCTCTTTAGCAACTAGAGCTTTTATTTCTGTTTGCTGTTGTTCTTGGTTGTTTTGTCATTGTTTTTGTTATTGTTTTCGGTTTGTTTTGGGTTTTGTACTGGGAATTGAACTCAGGGGCACTTAACCACTGAACCACATCCCCAATCCTTTTCATTTTATATTTTGAGACAGGGTCTTGTTAAGTTGTGGGATTTTTGTTTCTGGATAGGGACAGTCATCATGAATCTGATATTACACATAGTTTTACTGTTCAAATGTTTAGGGCTTCAAGGAGCTAACACTGGGTTGTAGGAAAGTCCTTGAAGTGTTCAATGGTAGGGACAGAGGACTTGACCAAGATGAAGGAGGTGACCAGGGGAGACTCAAAATCCAATAAAAGAAAATCAGCAGCAGAGTTGGCATCCAGGTACTCCACGAGTAATGGGACCAGCTGATTTGACATAAGGCACCTGCCCTCTGGATCCTCCCAGACACTGTGTTCTATCAGTGCTCAGAAACGTAATTCAAGAGTTTGAACAGGAGTCTTCAGTATCCTTAGACAATATGTATGCTTTTTATTGTGGTCAAAATAGGCTTCACATTTAAGAATATGTATATTATCTTTCTGGTACTTTCTTGGGAATGGGAGAATCTCAATTATACTACCCCTGAACTAATTTTAACATTTTCTATATCAAAGTTTTATGATTTAGTAAGTTTACTAGAAATTGGTGGTCCATCAATGTCCATTTTATTAATTCTTCCACAGAAACTTGGTAATAACTCCAGTTTGTACTCTGTATTAGCATTTATCCAGTTATAAATATAACAACAAAGTTTTCTTTGTCCTATTTAATTAAATATATATTTACTGTGTCACTAATTTGGGTTTTGATAAAATGCCTTATACGTCACTAAGGGCAAGGAGCCTGCTTCACATTTTGTACCTGTTCAGAGAACATTTCCTCTGATGGATTATATGTGTCAATGACACTTTGTGATCAGCATCAATGTTGAAAGGTTTTTTAAAAATGGGATAATGCAATGTGCTTGTATTCTAATGGAGATGATTAAGGAAAGAGAAGGAAACTGATCATGCAGGAAAGAGAATGTTCAATTGCAAGGTGCTGTCCTTGTGTAAATGAGGTTGGGAGGTGTCAAGCAGAAGGACTCGGCTTCAGAGATGCAGTGACAGTTCACCCACAGCAACAGTAGTGAAGCCAGTTGGTGAGTGCAGATGTGGCTAGGTGGTGAGTTCTAGTGGTGAAATAACGTGGAATTTATCTTCTGCTTGCTTATCTCTTCTCAGTGAATGAAAAAAATTCGACCATGAGCTGAGAGTGAAGAGTAAGGAGTATTAGAGGCCAGAGGAGAATGATGGTCTAGGATGACATGATGGTCTAGGAGGGAGGGAGGGAGAAGCTGACAATGGCAATGCTCTAAGATTGGCTGACTGTACCATTCAGCTTGAGATTTGTGATAATTAATTCAGAGAATGGTGGGAAAAGAAAGAAGTAAGGGAAACGAGGATGCATGAAATGAATTATTTGGATAGTGGGCAATAGACTCTAATCCTGTGTCTCTCCAAAATTCCTGTTGAAACCTACTCCCCAGAGTGTTGCTATTAAGTGTGTGTGTATTGAGGGGCGGGCTTTGAGAGGTAGCTAGGTCATTAAGGCAGAGCACTCATGAGTGGGATTAGTAATGTTTTAAAAGAGGCCTGAGGGAGCTAGTTCACCCCTTCCACCGTGTGAAGACCAAGCAAAAATGTGCCATCTATGAAGCAAAGAGAGCACCCTCACCAGACATTGAATCAGCTGATGTTTTGTCTTGGATTTCCCAGCCTCCAGAATTGTGAGCAATAAATCTCTGTTGTTTATAAAAAAAACTCAGTCTAAAGAATTTTGTTATAACACCCTAATTAGACTAATACATCCTGTTAAGGAGGGAAGGAAAGACATGAGGGGAGGCAAAGATCAGGGCAAAGGTGATGGGGTCCAGGGACTCGATGTGAGGCACAAGAGCTGTTACGTTCCAGAGGGAATGAGCTAAAGAAATAGACAATGGTAGCAGATCAGGATGTTTAGAGTCGAAATTATGAAAGGGTGCATTTCCATAAACATCCCCATCGATTGCCATTAAGAAGCTCAATAAAAATCAGTTTGACACTGCCTAAGAATGCTGCACAAATGCCAGTATGGTTCAGAAAGTCTCCCCTCTCTCTTTTCCTCCCCTTTTTCCTCCCCCAACACCTCATCTCCCCCACATTTCCTTGAACCTTCCCCCCCCACAATTCTGAAATAAAATAAACTTGTTCAAATGTGAATTTAACTGAAACAGATGAAACCAACCTCTGATGAAAGAGCATCTCTCTCCTCCGTTCATACTGAAGAGGTAGAAGAAACAAAAAGAGCATATTGCTGATAGAAGCCGAGAGGAAGAACACAAGAAATAGTTGTCTCTGACATTTAAGTAAGCCTGATGCTGGGTGTTTTTAGATTTATGTGACTGATAAATAATACAAGATTCTCTGTAGAGGACAAATCCAAGTGAAAAACACCCAATTGAGAAGAGAGGTATGTGGTTAGTAATCTCAACAGAAAAGGCTGAGCTCTCCTGAAATCCAAGATATCAAATGACTGTTTTTCAGCTGTAACATTGTTACTCTTGGCAATGACATAGCTTTCCAACTGCCTAAAATCAATATCTGCCCCTCCCTCCTGATTTAAATCTCTATTCAGGTAAACTGAGGTTCTGCCTATTACAGAATAAAAGTTAGTCTTTTTTATATTAGTTGGGGTTAGTCTGGAATTTTCTTTTATTTAGAAAATTATCCTTCTGCTTTCTGAAACCTTTCAATTTTCCTTCTCAAACATTTCAGAAAAATTCTCCTTGTCTAGTATTTCTAAGCAGTGGTACTTCCCAGAGAAGGGAGGTGGGGGTGGGGATTGTTATATTTTTTCCCTAGGATTGATCTGATTTCAAAAGTGTAGACAATATCCATCCACTGTTTTACACTAAAATATTTTGACATTCATATTCAATAAAATAAGTGCAAATGCTTAATGAACATATAAAAAGGTGTTCAGCATCACCAGAAAGCATTTATTTAGTTTATGTGGAGCTTATTATGGGTCAGGCACTGCCCTAAGCACCAGAAACCATTCCAAGTCTTTGTAAGTAGTAACTCAAACAATTCAAATAAAAATCTTATTCTACAGGTATGATAATTTTCTCCATTGTTAGTGGGAGTGATGAAACTGAGTCACAAAGAAGTTAGGTAACTTGCTAAGATCACACAATCAATAAGATGAACAGCCAAGCAGTTGGGCTCTAGGCCCATGCTCTTAGGTGCTATGCCATGAGCAATTGCCAGGGAAATGCAGATTCAACCAGGATGCTATTTTCTATTCATGAGATTGCTCCTCCCCCCCAAAATTAAACATCGATTCCAACAATCTCTGTTAAACATGTGGCAAATCAACACCCATGTATTGTTGCAATTTTTTCAGAAGGTAATGCAATAGTATTCATAAAAATTTATAGTACAGAAAACGCTCTGTACATTATTCCACCTTGGGAGCTCTGCCCTGCAAGAACAAAAGCACCAGTATATAAGGCAATCTATGAAATTGCAGGGCTGCTTTCAGTGATGAAAAAGCTTGAAATAGAACAAATGACCATTGAAGGAGCTATGGTTGAATAAATTATGCTGCATTCACAGTATGGAATAACTATTATATAAGAGTTCAATCTGTATCTATTGATCTAGAAAAAGCTACAATACTGTATATAGTCCTATTTGCAGGGGGGAGGGGTGTAAATGGGTTTTGGGGCATATTTAACAGTGAGCTGAGGAAATAGGATAGAGTAGAGGTATTATTAACTTTTTCTGTACATATTAATAAAGTGTTTGATTTGTATACAAGTGTTGGATGCCTTTACAATTTAAATATCTAATTGAGTTAAAATAATTATAAATGTAAATGCAACAATCAGCATAGAAAATGTGTCTTACATTTCCAGTTCCACATAGAAAATTATATGAATAATATAGCCTTTCAAATCAAATGTGAAGAGTTATTTATATTCATGGAGACCTATTACATACAGGCACCGCAATTTATAATTTTCAGCAATTACAGAATAAACATTAATTTTCTTTAATGGGAATTTCTGACAACAAAAAGGAGAAGGAATCATTTGTTCATTCTTTGTCTAATAGGATAGCTAGCTAGTAGAGAGTAATATCATTTTAAAAATCAGTGCATGATCTACAATTCCTATTTCTATTTCTTGGGTTTCACACTCAAGGGGAGAGAGAATGCATATTTGGGAAGAAAATGGAGGGCTGGCGATACTGAAAGGTTAAAAATCCCCTCCTTTGATAGAAAGCATTTGACTCACATTTCTCCAGGTTTAAGTCCCTCTTTCTATGTTCTATGCTGTTCAAGGTAAAGTTGAAACCTGATAGAGTGGCCAAAAATGCTGGCGGGGGAATGGGGAGTACAAACAAGAGACTGCATCATTTGCTTTCTGGTTGTTTTGACCATAGGCCCTGCCCAGGCCAGAGAAATTTAAAGTGCTGCTGCCATCTTCAGGAGTTCCCCATTGTCATATTTGAATAAAGTTACAAGTAAGTTAGATACTGCCTCATAACCCTTTCCAGGAATTTTGAGTGGCAGCAAGAAAACAGACGCACTAGGTGACTGCTATAAGGTGACTTCTCATAAAAGCTTAAGATCATTCCCTAATAAGGCAGCTTTGCCTGCGTTTATTATTATGAAATGATGTTTCTCCCTTTAAGAGGCAACATGGATTAAGATTTACAGTCCAAAAGTGGGCATGACTGGAGAGGGCATCACACTTTAAAAATATGGTTGAAAATGCCTGTAATCAAACAGTGGCTCCAGAGACTGAGGCAAGAGGATTGCAAATTCAAAGCCAGCCTCAGCAAAAGAGAGGCACTGAGCAGCTCAGTGAGACCCTGTCTCTAAATAAAATACAAAATAGGGCTGGGGATGTGGCTCAGTGATCAAGTGCTCCTGAGTTCGATCCCCAGTACCCCCCTCAAATGGTGGAAGATGGGGGTTTAGGTTATAACCTTTTGGGTGCACCTGCTGGCTTTGCAGCCCATGGAGTTAGTCCCCCTGAGGACTACCTGCCCAATTTCCATTGCCAACATTGTTTGGTCAAAAAGAACCTGTGGGCTTCCATTTTTACTTGATTTGTTTGTTGACTGGTTTGTTTATTAATTCTAAGCCTCTCTCTTCTCTGATTGCTTGAGTTGCAGATAGTTAATAGGAAAGACCAAATTATCTACCAGTACTCTCAGCACAAAGCACTACTTCTTTCCCAGAAGTAATTCTACTTCACTGCTTTGCAAAGAAATAGTAATTGAGCCCTAAACCGAAAATATACTATTCTTCTTCATGATGGTTAGAGATGTTGATACTCACAAATGGTCTGAGAAGTCCATGAACACACAAGTTCTCAGGAGGAGCAGTCCAATCTTCAGGCCATTGTAGCAGTATATTGTCAAATGTTCTTTTGAGACACTGAAGTTTTCATACGGCCACTTCACATGAATTCTTTTTTGTTTATTCATCATTTTAAGCAATCCTAAGGTCTCATAGAAACTGGGATGGACCTCCCAGAGCCCATGTTGGCTCTTCATTTACATAATTAAAAGTAAAGAATAAAGTATTTAAATTAATCTTATAAAAATCCATATCATTTTAGGAAATATGAAAGTTCACTTTCATCAAAAATTTCACAATTAAAAAATGTATACAGAAAAAGCAGATTATAATATGTAACTAGCACCATAAAGGACGTTATGTCATCAGTATGATGCTTCAGAAGCTGCTGTATTTGGAAGATCGTCCTTGTCCTCTGCAATTTTCCCCTGGAGTTATTCAGCAAAGACTTTCTAAGACTTTCTATTAATACACTGGGTATTCTGGTAGGCACTTTTTATATGTTACCTCTCCATTCCTCACAAGGATTCTGTGAAGGTCAGACACCCCCATTTAGCAGATATGGAAACTAGGACACAGATACTTTAAGTAATTGCTATAGTCATGTAGGATTGGAACCCGAGTGTGCCTTACTCATGCCCATACTGCCTGCATAATTGTATCTGGGGGACAGCTTTCTTCCTGAGCTCTTTCTTGTCTATCATGATTATAAAACTGTCATCCAATGAATATTTGACTCTTTGCTACAGTCAAAACATTGTGAATTTTATTAACATAGCATTAGAAAGAAAAAATTAAGTCAGGGCTAACATTAGACCATAAAACAAGCAAAAGTTGTAAAAATGGAAAGTATATTGAGCTATTTGTGCTCACTGCCGCTGGGGGCATTGTCGACTTATAAGTAAAACAGGTGAACAGATTGCATGCTGGAGAAATTCCACAACCTGAAGATAATTTTGAACCCATCTATGATGCCACCTAAGAAAAACATATATATATATTATAGATAAAACTAAAGACATACTAAAATGCACTTAACCACAATTTGGCCACGGGGACAATTTTTATTTCTACTTTACTTCCTATTCCCATTACATCTGGCCACTTAAGCAGGAAAATGAATGAATGATCCTTTGCAAAATTTACCGCATCTTGTTTAATGTGTAATGTTGTTACTATTTCTGGATCTCAGAACCTGTAACCTTAATTCAATGTTAGGGTATATCTGGTCATGTTCAATTTCATTGCACTCACTACTCTATTCTTCCTACAGAGCTCTAAATGGCCTCAGACTCAGAAGTTGAACAGTGAAGCCACCATCTCAGCCCAGTGCCCTCCAAAGTCTCTGGTGCCACTACACAGCTGCTTACAGCTTAATGAACCACTGTTTAGTGTGCTGCTAAATGAGGTTGCAAAGAATGAACCATCTCTAATGGTATCAGCTTTTTACATGAGGAAAGGAGTTCTCATCACTTACCAGACTTCACCTGAAGGACAGAACACCCCAGACCTTTGCATTTGAGCGAACTGGCAACTCTTCAGGGAGCAGATCTATGACTTTGCATGCTGATCTATTTTCTGCTCCAGTGGTCATCATTAATATTAATGCCAAATTGGAAGTCGAGACATTGGGGTCCTCCGGCAGAAAGTCAGCACAAAAGTCTGACTGTGAATTAGCCAGGATGGATGTGCCAGAGCTAGTGCAAATCATGATGAAAACAATACATTGCTCAAGTGCTTTTTGAGAGCTCAGACAAATATTACCCAGACTTAGCCTAAAAGCAATGAAATCACTAGTCCTATAATGACATTAGATATACTTAAAATGAAAAGCTGAGAAAATTATTGTTTTTGTTTTTTTGTTTTGTCTAGAGATGTATCTATACTTAAGGGGCTCCTTCTACCTAGAAACACTGAGGACATAGATCTAAGCCTCTTCATTGAAATTGCCCCAGATGGGGATGTAGCTCAGTGTTTAAGTATGTGCTCAGCAGGTGTGAGGCCCTGGATTCAATCTCAAGCACTAAAAATAAATAAATAGATAAATACTATTTCTTTATTTATGTAACTATTTCCCAAGAGAATTTTGAGCTAACTCCTAAAGAGATTGCTGAATATGCCATAATTCATATTATTATACCACCTGCCATAATAATAGTAGCTAACCATAGTGCTTACTATATGCCAAGTTCTCTATACTATTTTCCCATATTAATCTATTTTTAAACTCACAGCAACCTTATGGGACAGGTGCTATTATTTTTCCTCTTTGAAAGATCAGACACTGAGAGTTTATGTAACTTGCCACAGTTACCCAGCTAGAGAACTACAGTCAGAATTTTGACCCAGTTAGCACTAGAAATTATGCTTTTGAACATACTACATATTTGATAGATAATCTTTTATTATCCACTAACTATTTGTGCTTATTCCTATCTTCCCAGACAGATATTTAAGGGTAATCCCTGTCTCATATCTCATTTTATCTCTTTCCATAATTAGTTGCACATGGTTAGTTCTTTATGGTTTACTGATCATGTCTGCCTTAAAGTTGTCTTAAATGCTCTCTGGGACTGAAGGTTGGGGAGATAAATAGAAACAAATTTTTGAGGTTTTTTTTTTTGAACACCAATATTTCTGAAAATCTGTAACTAGACCTTGTGAATACTTTTATCATCAGTCTGGAAAATCTTACTACTAGAATGTATGAATTCTTATAGCAAGGGCTATAAGGTGAATATTTATAGCATACCAATTTCCAATATGATATTTAAAGTGTTTTTCATAGAGAAAACAATTCCCCCCAAAATAATTCTCACATGCATTAAATTCAAAGTTATTCTTGAAGAAGGGTTGGGGAGAGTTGAGGAGCTCAGACAAATAAGAAATGTTGGTTGCAGTGCTATCCTAAAAGAACTGTTTGCAACATTTAGCTCTTTAGACTGTATTATTTCCAATGTATAAACACCTATGAGGTCAGAAATCTTGTGTGATTTCCCATTTATATTGTTCAAAACAACTAGCATAGTGATAGACACATAAAAACTTCTCTGGATTGAGTTGCCCAAATTTGGGATTTTCTTACCATCGCTGCTTTTCTTGTCATTCCTCAGAACATATTAATTTCTCCGAAACCTATAATTCCCCTTCTGTAATTTTGTTCTCTTTGTTCTTCTTTCTCTGGGTCATTGTACTGTCTACTGTGTAGAGTTAGCCTGTAATATCATATTTGCCAGCAGGTGCTGCCATTTGCCACAGGATTTGATAATTTTCAAAATTCCCTACATCTGAGACTCCAGATTGTGTAAAATGTACAGTGCCTAATTTATCAACTTGGCAGGTTTGAAAAGCTATAAAATCAGTTACTTAAAATGAGTGATACTTGTAATGTGCTGCACAGTTTTAATGAGCAGGGCTCTACTGCTCTATTAAGACAACAGGGGACCACATTGAGAAAACAAGCAGCAAGAATGTGAGGTTAAGAGAATAGCAGGAAAATTTGCTTCATACCCACAAGATCCCAGTGGGAACAATATGTTCCACAAACAGTTGAGTTTTTCACTAGCAAGTAAAAGGGACTCACCTTAGTATCTTTCATATCTGTCTTTCTATTTCCAACTAGGAAAGTCTTTTATACCTCATTTAAAAATTATTCCAGAAGCCTTATATCTTTTCTCTCACTCTTCCCACTCCAAGTCATCCTGTGCATTTCTAGAATAATCTTCCTAGAATGACACTAAAAACCTTCAGTGATGTCCAAATGCCCACAACAAAGGCCGGTCTTTGGCAGTATGGTACACCAGGCACTATAATCCAGTCCCGTTATCTTTTCCTGTCCAACTTGACTTTTTATTATTCCTAATTTCTCCACTTCAACAAGGCAAAGGACTTTATTCTTCTCCACAGATTAAGCTCCTTCCCCTCTAGTATATTTGTTTCTGTTAAGTTACATATCTGAAATGTTCTCTCTCTCTTCTCTCCTTAGTCAAAACTATTGGGATATTAATTTCCCAGGAGTAACCAAATGCATGGAACATTGCTGGTTAACATAATCCCTTCTCCCAGCATCCCTGGGAACATCCAAAATATAGGTCAGGCATGTTACAACAAGACAATATTAATTAAATACACTTCTGTATAACACTTATATGCAATATTAAGTAAGTAGACAACATGCATATAATTCCTGGGGGACCTTGGTAAGCACAAACCCTTCTATGAGCCCACAGTTATTTTTGCATTCCTAGCTGGAATGTGATTTGGAAACACATTGTACTTCACCTTCTCAGTACTTGTCTTGACTGCACAAGTAGAATCTCAGAAGACACTGGGAAAATTCTCTGCTCCATTTACCGCATAGTCTTTCCTCTCTGCCAGCCCAACCCACATTTTCTTAATCTCCTGCCTTCATGAAAGTCACAGCTACATTGCTATTGTGTGTGTCCCACTGCTCTTGACCTAAAACACTCTAATCTCAGCCTCTACTGGTATCACCAGAGGGAAGGCTGCTGCCACAATGCTCCCCTTCTCTGTATTTTCAGAGGCTGGTCAGAATTACTTCCCCACTCCAGTCTGTCTCCCAAGGGCCTTTCTCCCCAATTAGCCAACTTCTAACTCCTCTGTGAAACATCCCTGATTTATTGTTTGGGGATGAATCATGGTCCATTTAGAATCAGAAATCAGAAGATTTAGAATCAATTTCTAGTTCTGTTACTTTCTACTCAACATATTTGAATCTCAGTTTCCCCAAAAATAAATGAAAAGGAAAATTTCTACAAATTCAAGGACTGAGCTCAAAGTGATGCACATCAAAAGCTACCAAGTGCCATACACAAGTAAATGCCATGTATTTCTGCAGTCATTCAACAGAATGGAGCAGTCATAAATGGAGTTCACCCCTGAGGCAAAGACAATGTGAAGTAGACTAAACCCCTGGTAGGATGGAGGAACCCTCTGTTACTTTTCTTAGCATCATGAAGCTATAGAGATAGGAATCTATCCACTAGCTCTATCTGAATGCCATCTAGTGGACACACAGCTCTTGTGAGAACAGAACTACTACAAATAAGTGCAATGGTTCATAAAACACCAGCCTCTGTCAGTGTTGTCGATACACAGGCATACTTTAGCCTTAGCAGGAGACAAATTGGGGCCACCATGGAGGTACAACAAAGAATTCTGGGAAAGGTCCTGGTTTTTAGTGATCCTCCCCCTAGTCCACCCTGTCAGACTCCAGGTTTTCTCATTTGAGCTTTTTTTTTTTTCAAACATGGGATGGCTTTTAATCTTGGAGCATCTTTTATTAAAATTAAAAGACTCATGGGCAAATCTCTTTCTCATTTCTTAACTGAGTTTAGCTGAAGATAAAGAAAAAAGCAAGATCCCATAAGAATAAAAATCAAGAAAGGCCGGGGAAAGTGGAGGACCTTGGGGTCAAAGAGGGAAATGAGTGAAGCCAAAGATAAACTCCATACTCTTCCTAGTTTTGCATCAGTCAGGCCTTATAGAAAAAAAAAAATTGTTGGTTGGCTGACTTTCTTCTCTATCCTACAGCTTACAATTGGCCTGGATGAATGATGGAGCCTATATTCAAACAAAAGTGGAAGGAATGTGTATGTTCTACATTTTAAATTTATCTCTGAAGCCATCTCAACACCCACGGAGGCTGGGGGTGGGGGCGGGCGGGAGGGGATTTGCTTTGTGGTTTGAGTCCAAAGCCGATGGAGCTTCCCGCCAGCAGCCCTTGCTTGGCAGCGAGGCCTGGAGGCCTGCCTCTTTGGAAACGTGGCAGATCCCTGCTTAGCTGTGTCTGCTCCTCCCCAACATGCTTCCTTTTCTATCTACAGTATTTAGAAATATGAGAGACGACGCTGCGAAGAACACAAAGGTTTTTGCAACCCGTCTCTGGCTTCATTTTCAAAGCTGTCGCTATCAGGGTTGGATTTAGCAACTTGGCATTCGCTTGGTGGGACCACCCCTGTTGGCAGCCATCTGGAGTCTTTTGGAAGATTTTTAAAGAGTCCCTGCTTGGAAAGCAATTTTTAGTGGAGAAAGCACTGGTGTTCAATTCGGGAATCCTAGGTTTTAACCACCACAGTAGTTAAATGGCCTTAGGTGATCCGTTAAGGTTCCTTGGACCTTGGACCTCTGTTTCTTCATCAGTTGAGTGATTGGTTAACTGATGGGCAGTTAAGAAGGGCAGTGGTTGGGCAAGATCCAATAGTCTAGGGCAGAGGTTTCCAAAGTGTGGTCACTGAACCAGCAACTTCAGTATAAACAGGAAACATAGAAATGTCCATTCTCACCTCCCACCTAGGCTTCATGAATCAGAAATTCTGAGAATAAAACCTTAAGATCTGTGTTGAAGAAACCCTCCAGGTAATTCTGATGCACAAATTTGAGAACCACTGCAGTCAAGATTTTTTTTCTCCTTCTGCTTCCTGGCCTGGTGTACCTGGGCAGCACTGATTTGGAACAGGTCAAAGATGTGTTAGAGGCCAAGGCATTCACTTTGCAAAAGCTGGCTGACAAGGAAGCCAGAGAAATCCAAATCAGAGTGTGGAGAGGGATTCTGAGAGAGAAGCCTCTCATTCCCAGACCTTTCTGATGACCAAAATTTCCAGAAAGCCCTGAGACTGTCTGCAGAACAGATATCTTTTTGGCTGTGTTTTCACAGCACATTTTTACAATATCAAAAGTAGCAAGCACAAAAGTGTGTTTGGTTAATGATGCCAACATATCTTTTCACTATTTTTGTCTCTAATCTCCATAGATACGTCATTTAGTGCTGGGCAAAGAAAATTACTTTCTTCATTTTAGCTTTTTGTTTTTCCCTCTACCTTTTCAGACAGCTCTTCATTTCCTCTAAGTTATCAGGGGCAACCTGCAAGTGTGGTGCTGGGTTCCACAAGGGAACCACAGTTTCCTAGCAACAGCCAGAGCCTGCTGGGCCATTCTATGAGTCACCAGCTCAGGGCAGCCTGGATAAACTGCTAAACTGCATGGCTTGCAGAGGAACCCTCTGTGGGTCCCACACCAGAGCCCGAAAGTCTGTCTCCTTTGCAGGGCAGTAGGATCTAAAAGAAATAGATAATTGATAGGACACAAAGAATGACAATAGGCACACTCTATTTTAATATTCTACAGGATGTTGGAGAAGAAAAAGAAAAATGGAAGAACATAAAGCAGAGAGAGAAAGAAAGAAAGGGAGGGAGGAGAGAATAAATTTTTTTTCAACAAATATCCCCTGAGCATCCTCAATGTATCCTTTAGCTAGATATCAGAGTTGCAAGATCCTTGCCTTCAGAAAGCTTATATTCTAAATGGGAAAACCTTACCAATAGGCCATGATTCATGCCATATAGAAGAAACTCTGGTTCCATGCCAGAGTATGACTGAAATTAACAATCATAAGTCCTCTTTCAATTTTGTATTTTTTCCTTTTTCACTATAAAAACTTCCTATCATAAGATTTTCAAGTGTATTAAGTCATACATAGTATAACTCTTATGGTGGCTTTGATCTTAATAGCTTTAATTTTATTACCTTTTTTTTCTTAATGTTGTATATTTGGTTTTATTCTCACTTTTTTGTGATGAGGTTTTCCAAGAGTTTTTGTTTTTCATTGATCTTTGTTAAATGGGCTTTTGGTAAATTGATCAATTCCACTCCTATTTTAAATGTATCGATTTCTGTTTTTATTTTTATTGATTCCTTTCTCTTGCTTTACCAAAGTTATATTGGTTTTTTATGTCCTCTTGAATTGAAGCCATAATTGAATCCATTCATTTTCATTTTTCTTATGTACTAATGAAAGCACTTAAAGCTGTGAATATCTCCAGTTTTAGGTTTAGCTTTTGCCATGTGTCTTAACATGAACTTTTATAGTTTTGAATATCCTATTTAGCTTTGTTGGCTTGATCTATCAAAGGAATTAAAGTCACCCTCTAAAATTGTGGTTCTTTTTCATCTTATTTAATGATC